CCCCTTTAGTGGACTGAGCTCTACGATATGTATATCAGCGGGATAGTGATGCGTCACTTCCAGACACCACCACATAGTATCAATCTATGCTGTTCCCCTCCAAGCGGCGCCGGACGATGAACGAAATCCCCGAGTCGAGAATGATGCTGTCGCGGCGATGCCTGCCGCGTGGGGAGAAGCAGATTCCGGCGACAATAGAACCATTCGACTTCAGGTATATACTGTTGAGCCCATTGAGTTCTTGACCACGGGGTTGGATCTCTTCGTTCCCTGGATGGACGAACAGCCTGGCGCGCCCGAACAAGACAACTCGGATTGTGGTGGGCCAGACGAAACAGCTGGCTCTGGTTGCTGATTCGCGATTTGGTGTTGACGGCGTGAAGAGCCCCAAGAGCCCCAAATCTAGAGAGGGGTTGTCGAACTCGGCAATTTCCATGCTCAGGTACTCGGTGCCTTGGATGTTACAGTCCAGGTACTGCAGGTCCACCAACATGTCAAGACTCGTGTTGCTGGCGCCCTTCTTGAAGTGTTTCTCGTTGCCGTTGTCGTTGAATGTAGACTTATCTTTATCAACAACGAGTTGATCCCGCTCCCGTCTCAACTGTTCCAGTGCTGATCTTGATGTGTCTTCAGCATCTCGAAGGTTCCATGGCCACTCCGCCAGGATGCGTCATCGTCACATGGGGTAAAGGTCTTTCCGTAGGTCTTGAAGAGGGTTTTACCTTATGGCAGGCATCACCTCCCTGCCACGATCTGGGTGCTCTCCATGGTAAAGGATACCCTGGGTAAGGTGTATGTTATAAGACTACCGACGTGGTGTGCAATCATGTCGCGCCTTCTAACCGATCAGTAATTGAGGGCCAGCTTGGTGACAGACTCGACAACGGAAGAGGATGATTCTTTGATGTGCTGTCCGGCTTGGCTTGATTTGTATCATCTTATGTCTAACGGACCAGAGGGAAATGAAGATTCTTCATCATGGTCTGGATCACTCTCCCTTCGACATCCCTTCTCTTGATCGCCATGCAATTTAGAATCTCGGTGACTGGAACTAGAGGAAGGTAGCGGGTCATCACGAAGAAGATCGTCAGTATGTACATCCACGCATCCAACATCCGCAACATCCTCACCAGAACCGGTGACGAGATAGATCTTTGTAGGATTGGTGTTGTTACCAGAGTTTCTTGACATCGTGATGAGGGGCTTGACCTCGTCGGCGAGCCAATTCTCAACACCATGAGCGATCCCAGTTGACGACAAGAGTGCGATGGTCAACTCGCCGAGTAATCACAGTTCTTTTCTTGCAGTCCTGCTTGAGTCCGAGTTTATTTCAGCTCCTTTCACTCGGTGAGGGCATCAAAACCCTGCGATCTGGTCGTGGCCGTCGAGAAAGTGTTCGATTCCAGATCCAGGGCACCGCATCGAGCTTGGCCCATGCGATCCGGATGTCTCTGTGAACTGATTCAACCGTCTCTCCAGATACGTCGCAGCTTTGTGTTTTGCCGTATGCGCTGCCTGTACTTCCTCCAGATCAAGTGCCACCTCGAAGATGAATTCGTTTGTTGTGCTTGATGTGATGAGTTGCGCCGCCAGAGACTTGAGCGGCGAAAACTTATGGTATTCCCCTACTCACAATACTGCAACCTCCTCCACCGCATCTTCATAAATATGACTTCTTTATTCTCAAGTGACGGTGGCTCTCTCACCTGACTGATGAACATGTCATGGGCAAAAGACCCTGGCGGGTGGGGAGGGGGCGCCGCCGGACGACAGAGACGGATCAGACCGGCGTGGAGGCGGACATTTACGTGAGCAACGAACGCCGGAAGAGAACGTCAATAAGTAACATGAGGACCGTGGTATGTCGTATCTGGCTGGGCGTTGGAGTGGCACCAGATTTGCTGGCTGGTATATCTGTTGTATATTTGAGTAGCCCAGAGCTGGTTTCACCTCGCGGGACCTACGAGGACTATCAACGTTCGCGTCTACAAAGAGACAACGCTTTCTACTGACGATACGTAGACTTCATCTCGCCTACATCCATGTTTGAACTATTGAAACAATACAAGCGTCAAAGACCCTAGCCCGGTATTTGTTACATTCTCTTGGTCATGCAGAGTGTCGAATCACGCGTGATGTAATAAACGAGGCGGAGTGCCCTGTCAATACTCGAGCAGGAGAAACTCAATGACGTCCATGAAAGACCCGGATTGCCCACCATCAGAGCTAGAAAATGCACATTGCGGAAGCGGAAAGTTTCAGGTATTGGTACGCCAGACTGCACAACAGAGCCAGTCGCCCCTCTCACTTACCAACTATAGCACTGTCCACGCCATGACGTTAGAGTCCATCGGACATCTCGACAACGATCCGGGTCAAATATCGACAGAATTGGCCCAAAAGGTCTGCTTGCTGAGCATGTCATGAAGCTTAGACGTCCGCTCCCGAACGTGAGTCGTCGCGCGGTGAACGGCAGTGAGATGAGCGGACCTTTCGATCAAGGCGTCCTGTTTGTCGACCAGAAGATACATATACCGCAATGGGCATAACATTACGTGGACGATAAGCTTGAGTATATCCAGTGGCAGGCTCCCTTGAGGGCGTTGACGACCGTTGTCAACCCGCGAAATCCGGTCGGTGAGCCCCATGGCCTAATCCAACGTAACTTCGAGGTGGAAACACCAGGGCTATGCCTAAAACCTTCCTTGGTGCCGACAAGAAGTCGGGGCAGAGAAGGTCTAGACCTTAAGGGGGACAAATCAGAAAAGACATATGGCCATGTCATGGGCGAACAAGCGGTAGGAGCTCAGTGACAGGTCGTGAATATGGAGGACGAGCAAACCTTAGAGCCGACGAGTCGTTGCATGACCTGGAGCTGACTCCCGAGTTCGACCTCTCGATGGAAAGTGGGCCGCAAATGCAATCAAAGGATCAGGATCAGCACGCCATGTGATACGGTATGTATTGTCTAGTAAGCCCATCTCTTCGATTTAGACACGACATCAACGATGCCATGGTTTGCGGTGAAGCTGAGAGAAGGTCTAATACTCCGATACAGGAAGCGGGAAGATTTCCCGCCACATTAAACCTTTCTCATCCGCCACGCGCACAGCAAAACCTCTAGCATTGGCCTCAATACCAGTGATGTCGCGCCAAAGCCAGCAAAGCTCTGAATATACAGCTGACAACAACATGGCTTGGACCCAACCTTCGGTCATGAAGCACCTTCGCGTTTGAGCTCTTTCTCTTGTGTCGACGATGAAGTGAAGGAGCGAGTCCAAACTGATTCGCGTGATCTCGAGTCGCGAGCCGGCGGAGAACTGCCCGCAACATGCGACGGGGTACACGGCGGATTGAAGATTGATGCGGAGGATCTGCTTCATGCAGTCCGGACTTTGGATGTAAGATGGTGAATCGAACGTAGACGATGACAGGTCGCTTGAATCAGGAAGCCCAGCTGGCGGGTTGAAAAGTTGCAGGACGAGAGGAGTGTTGTGACACCACGGGAAAGCCACTTTGTCTTCGATTTCGGCCGGTCGGTCGGGATGGAAAGAACAATGGTAAAGGCACAAGACTGGTCCGCTGGATCGAAGCCCACGGTAGACGCAAGAGCCTACACAGGCTTGGATCTCGGTGTTGCGTCGTCAAACCGACGCCTCTCCTTGCCAGCCAGCAGAGCAATCTCAATTGCAATGGGTCCTGATTCCGGTCCACGGTGACCGGACGTAGATGCCTCCACCAGCATCCAATAAGGGTTCTCTCCCTGACCAAGTGTACGAACATGTTGTCGAGCGCGCCCTGACCCTAAGGTTGACGAGAAGCTCTCAGAGATGGACCTGGCTAATGGTTGGGAGGCTCAAGCCGCGGAAAGCCACCTTGGAAGGCTTGTGACCTCGTCGACAGGGCCCTTCGGCTCTTCGACTTGGCGGAGAAATCGACGACCCTCATATCCTCGCCGCCTTCGGCATGCTGGAACATTCTTTCGCTTTCGTGCTCGATACGTGTAGGCTGGTCAATATGCCTTGCTTCCTGGCGAGGAGAAAGAGTACACGGAAGTGCGCGCAAGGCCGTCATGTTCTCGCCGTATTCCCTGCCCACGACATTCAGGTCGGGAATCGCGGTGGACTAGATGAGACTGTCAGCCAAGTTCTAACACTGTTGCAGGGGGCATGACTCTACCATTGCGGCGTCGATTTGGCACTTCAAAAGGCGAATGATCTGAATGCGGCGATGATCGGAGGTGATAACCGGAGGCCATGATCGGGAGGCCTTGGTCTGGGGAGTTGTTCTCGGAGATCAAAAGCACCGCATGGCGAGAAGAAGCGAATGGACGTACGGGTTTCCCATGTGGCGGGGAAACACCATCATGGTAATCTAGACCATTGGATTCAGCCAGGGTTGGACCGAGGGGAAGTTGGCAAACGCTGCCACTGGCTCGACAACATGAGCCGCAAAGGAAGACGTTAAGTTGCAGAATCAAGCTCCGCCGCGTGTTGAAGGCTTTCAGAGCGACTTCGACATCTCGTGATGCTCGAGATAGAAATGGTTGGCAATTTTCCACATGGGTCTTGTGCAGAGACATCGGTGCAAGAGGTGGACATTGTCACTCTGAGCTGTATGAGGTCTTGAATCCAGCGCCGGTCGGCCGGCATGCTTGTTGATCTGGATCCAAGAGAAAACAGCCGGAGGTCGGCATGATGCCAGCCATGAAACGTGGCTGCATATTCATGCGCGAACCACCGCGGCTCCCATCTAAAGGAGGGATCCATTCGATCCGGACGAGAGGAGTCGGGAGACAGAGCTGGTAGTCTGGGCTGTTGCTCGAACCGGTCGCGACGAATCGGCCCAGTAGGCATGATCAACAGCCATAGGCCTCTTTCTCTGTTGATATCGGTATGCCGTACCCCATGTTGCAGACTTGCGATTACCGACAACATCAGGTGTTTTCAGTAGAAAGTCTCATCTTAAGCCCTCCGTTCCAACTGCCACGGCCACCTCAAGCAGGAGGGCATTCCACCAAACTTCAGGCATGGCTGCTGACGTTGGGTCTGCATTTCAGCGGCGAGCCCAGCTTCCCCCTCTCTTGCAAAGGCACTTCGTCTTTCTTCCAAGTCTAACCCTCTCGAGGATCGTCCACGACTCCGTGGAACTCAAGCGCATGGGTTTCAGCGTAACGTGATGGCAGGCTTCAACGAGTACGAGAGGCAAAGGTGTTTGCCTGGCGGCTGCAGACGTCACCGATTGCGTCTTGCTCACAGCGAGCCCGTTGTCAACGGTTCCATCTGTCGTTCTCTGCGCCATTGTATTGCGGCCTCGTCCGGTTGGCCTCTCGTTCGTCTCTTCACGTGATCGCCTGGTTCGCCTGGTTCGTCTTGCATTCATGCCTCGCGCCGTTTACGGCATTCGCCTTGTCCGGTCCGTAGATGTGTCTTCGGCGTCCTCGCCTGGTACTGTTGGAAGCTTGTGCTTGCTGCTTAAGACACATTGATTAGCGCTAAACACCGCTCACACAAGGTTAAACGATCACTTACCATCTGTCTGATTCTTCCCCGGTCGTCTCGTCTGTCTTGGCCTCGTTGGTCGGTTTCGTTGGTTGGCCTCGGTTCGAGGTCTTCGTCTTCACGTTCGGTTATCAGAAGCCCGCTTTCCTCAATCATTGCCGCTTGGGTGGTCAACATTTCAGCCCGAGTCAGTCATCTTGATAGGCAGCCACGTACAGATTTCTTCGGGCGGGCCACTCTTCTTCTTCAAGCGTCAATGGAACGGGCATGGCGAAACGTGCTCCCAGGCGTATTTACAACAGCGCCGTGCAAGGGTCTTCTCCTTCTGTCGTATTCTCTCGGCAAAGTAATCTCTTCGCACCGGAGTTTGCTCAAGGTCTCCGAAGTGGCGGTCTGGTCATCGGCAACTTTATGCTCGATCTGGAAGGCTGGCTCAAGTCGTCGTGTAAACAAGGCAACGTAACAGACCCACGGGGCCACGGGTCGAATTCGAAGAGGGAGTTTGCGAAGAGGACAGGAGTGCTGCGTTGAAAGTGGAAGATGAGCGGTCATTGCTGAAATCGACTGGAACGGGTGCTGGATGTCTGACAGCTTGGGCGAGCATCGTTTACTTGCAACGAATCGGGCCAGCCAACGTGTTCGCAATGTTCGTGTGGTGAAATATCCCGACGGGGATGCGGGAGACGAGGACAGAGTCGAAACTGGAGAGAGGGAGGAGAGGCGGAGCAAGATGCTGAGTATAGACAAGCCGGTGTGCCTTGTCGTCGAGGGCTGTGTGCAGCTCTCCCATCCGCTTCGGAGTCCGTTTGTTCGTTCTCCCGACACTTAAGTTGCCGGTGAGCTGAACTTGAGGGTTCAAATCAACAGATGTTGCGCGGCTACGTCGCGGATCGGTTCCCGGTGCTTCGCTTCGCAGGTATCGACAGGCGAACGTCACCGTACGACGTCAGGAAGCGACCCAAGCTAATGGGCCTTCTCCGCTATGGTGAGGTGGCTCATGGCGACAGTTCGGGATTATAATCAATGGATGGTTGCCGCTGAGGAAAGAATGCATTTGTGGCTGTGGATTGTAGTCTGCCCAGCTTGCATGCGACTTGTGCGGACGCGTACTCCGGCCAGCGGCACCAGCAGGGTTGATTCCACGTCGGCGGCACGTTCAGCGGGAATGTCGATCGCTTTCCTTATCGTCCTCATGCTCGACGAAAACTTGAACTCTTGGGCTTCGTGTAGTGCCGCTGTCATCTGTAAGTTGCAACAACACAGCTCGCGGGTGCCCTGCCATTTTGTCGAATGGTGTCATGTTGGCGCTCATGAGGAGACGTCAGGACTGTCGACATGTGTCTCGGGGCACCCGTGACGAAGAAAGCAGACAATCGGTTTCCGGCAAGGGGAAGGGAGGTTCGCAATGTACCGGAGCTTTTCGAAGCCGGCGTCGGTGGTGTCGCATGCGGCTTCAGGTTCGGGAGGGAGTATCTCGGGGCTCAGTGAGTGTACACGGAGACGGGGGCTCGTGGTTTCTGCCGCGGGTATTGAGGATAGCAGACCGGTCAGAGAGGGGATATCTTCGACATTATCATGTTCAAAGACACAGAGCTGATTCCTCCGCCGCCCAGGAGGCCGCCAACGTCTCGTACAAGGCCAACAAGATGGTAAGAGGTGCGACGGAGTACACAAGAGAGTGCCGTTGTAGGGCCATCCCGATTGTCGCACATCCATAGATTAGGTCGGTGGATTCTGAAAGGAGAACATAGATGTTGTCACAGGGCTGACGATCAGGATTCGAGGTCCATGTCCTTGGAGAAGAACATCAAATCAATCGAGCCGAAGGCCTCGAATAGACCCTTTCTTTCTGTGACAGGATGGCGAGGACGATTGAGCGCTGAGGTGATGGCAGGCATGCCGAGCCGGAGAGTTCGATGAGCAGCGACGTGATGAGCGAAACCGTGTAGCATGGTCATGCGTCAACGAGGTTGGCGGCAGGAGATGAGGGCGGTCGATAGCAGCTGCGGCATCATCGGCATGATGGCTTTGGTGGAGAATTTTGGCGAAAAGAGTATCGGGGTTGAAAGGCGTGGAGTCGCGAACGATATCTAGGTAGTGAAACCGAGTTCAAAGGCATCCTCCCGCCCGAGGACGTCCTGATCGCCCGAGAAGCATACTTCAAGTCCCTTCAGCCGTCAGGCGTCATCAAGCTGGGCACAGCCCGCGCGTCTCCGTCGTGCGCCATGTGACGCATGGGTACGTGGCCTTGATGGAGTAAACGGAGTGACTGTGATGAATAGGGAGAGTTGGGCCACGAGTCGGGCGGTATGGTAGTTTGGCGAGGAGAGAGGCAGCGAGATCTTGGATATTGTCATTTCGTTGGGCCTTTGGAGTCGACAGGCCTTCGGGCTTTCGGAGTCGGGGTTGGGTTGCGTGCTAAGATTGAGGGAGAAACCTGGGAAGATGGCGAGGTTCGGGGAAAAAAAAAAAAAAAACTTCGACTAATGGCGGTAGAGTAACTCACACGATGGACAAGCACCAATTTCGGCATGGCCATTGATGTGCTGATGTTGATGTGGTGGTAAAAGAGCACCTCCCTCATTGGCGATCGAACCGACAAACAGAGAGGGAACATTGGTGGCACTGGCCACACTCAAAATCAATCGCCGGAGTCAAACGCCAGAACTGCGAGGTGGGCGTCTTGCTTACCTAAGGTAATATGACGTCAATCTACATCCACCGCCCAATCGTGGCACCTAGCGCCCCCCGACGGGGGCGCTAGTTCTGTCCGCGCTGCACCGCAGCCGCTAAAAGCAGGCGGGGGTCCCCTGCGGCTCAGCAGCGCAATTGCCGCACCGCAGGTTTTGGCTGTTCTGGGGCCCGCTATTGAAGCCCGTGCTTTCTTCCGACATAAGCAAATGCAATACGCTGCGCAATATAATATAGCCACCCTTATAATCTAGCTATTAATATTATCTTATTATACCTAATAAGTATATATTTAATATTTAATATTCTAAAAAAATAAAACTCTATCTTAATAAGCTTTATAATATATATAGTAATATACTTATAAATAGCTTTACTTAAGGTTAGAGGAAGTAAAACCTTAATAAGGAATATTAATCTATAAGAAATTATCCCTTTTATTATTAAGATTATATTATAATCTTTTTTTTTTATCTCTTATTTTATTTACTTAAAATATCTTCTTTTTATATTTTTAGCTTTATATTAATTAATATTAATATTCTTATTAATATAATTATTAACTCTAACTATTAGCTTTAACCCTTAAATACTATTAAGAATAATTACCCCTCTTACTTAAAGTATATTAAAAATTATTTAAAGATATATTATATTAAGAATATTATAATAGATATTATTTTATTAAAAGAATAAATAATTTAAGAATATTATATTACTTATATAACGCTATAAAGGTATTAAAACTAATATATAGCTTAAATAGTAATTAAAATAGAGAAAGAGCTATTAATAATATTCTATATATTATAATATAATAAGCTATATAATAACTTTAAGCTTAATTTATTTAATACTCTAATAATAATAAGATAATATATAGAGATATTAGTTAGGATCTAAATATATTAAATATAAGGTTAATAGTTTCTATAGATATACTAAGTATAATTAGGCTTAAATTAATCCTTATTATTAAATAATAGCGCTAATATAGGAAAGGTAATATATAATTCTTCTAATATGAGTGTTGCTTTGATTTCTTTCCGTCTCCCGAACTCACTTGCGACCATCACCAACTGGAGGCATCTCCGTGAGCGGTCCAAAAGCGTCATCAAACACACCTGGCCAAGTGTTCCAGACTACAGTACATCGTTCGTTCGTCTCATCCCTACAATTTCTCATCCGGCCCCTGGATCGAGACGACTTGCATCCCAAGACTCCACCTCAACCGGCTCCGGTCGGGCGATGGGACGGATCCCAGGCCCCGGCCAAAACTTCGCATGCTTTCGAGGGTCAACGCAGGCGACTTGCTGGTGTCGAGACATCTGTTGCAGCTCATTTTCGAACGATCATCGTCCTACATAGCAACGGCACCTTCCCAGAAGTACGTCAACAGAGGCGCAGCCTGCATGCCGCCTGCAGGCAGCAGGATGAGCTGGCGACCCGCCGACCCGCCGGCGGAGCAACGCAAAGATGACCGAGAGAAGGCTTGCACCTCACGACATTATGTTCGCGGAGTTTCTGCCGATCAACAACCAACGCTCTCCCCTTCTCGATATTTTCGACATCGCCACGCGAATCACATTCCTCTGCGATGCCACTTTGCGACTTCTGCTCCCAACTTCCTATCGAGCGCTCTCTCACCGCAGACGGAATCGTCCGGTTGGAAGTCTTGGGGCCAGGCCAAACTATTCAGTATGTGGGAGATCATCGCGGCGCTTGCGCCCTGTGCTCTTTGGTTCATCAAGCCATTTCACGAGAAAGACCCGACTTCCTTCAGCCAGAGTTTTCAGCTTGCAAAGTGCAATTGTGCCCTTCCGGTCCATTGGGCAACGACTTCACCTTTCGCCTGGAAAGTCGCAAAGATTGCCATAACTTGGTTTTCAATCGAATCGAAGATGCTCCAGGCCGTATCAGGAGTCTCTCTGCCGACCGAGACATTCCCCAGGTCAGCAGGAGTCGGCTGGATACATGCAAGAAACAACACAAACAATGCCATCACTCTTGGTCATCGGAAACGTCATCGAGTCTCAACCTCAGACTCATTGATGTACGTCGATGGTGTCTTGTCGAGTCTGAAAGCTTTCCATCTTCAGCAGACCGCAGATACGCCGCACTGAGCTACGTCTGGGACAAACCGCCATGGGTGATGATGACGGCTGTCAACCTCCCCCAATTCTGCCTAGAAGGCAAGCTCCGCGATGCTGGCCTACCGAAGACAATCACCGACGCGGTGCGGCTCACCGAGGAGATGGGAATACCTTATCTCTGGGTTGATGCATTGTGCATCATCCAGGAGGGCGACGGAGGAGTCGACAAGGCAAGGCAGATCCCGAAGATGGACGCGGTGTACGGCCTAGCAGAGGTCACCATCGTCCAAGCCAGCGGTCAAGACAGCAAATGCCCTTTGCTTGGATTTGGCGACGACTCCGCACCGCTGAGACAGATCGAAGCTGAATTGAAGCCTGGTCTTCGGGTCGGTCTCCAGTTGACCGGCTTCGACGACAAGCAGAAGGCCTCTTCTACGTGGATTGGTCGAGCGTGGACATTCCAAGAAGCGGTGTTGTCCCCACGCCTTTTGATCTTCCACAATGGCCAGGTCACTTGGGAATGCCGCGAAGCAGTTTGGTGCGAAGACATGTCGACCGAACCGGACAACACCCCCAAGCCAACCGAGTACACGATGGAGAATGGCGTCACGATCCCACTTTCCGCAGAGACGCCCACCTTCAAGCCCCAGTTCGGCTCCCAAATGCTGCCAGTCGAGGCGTCTCAGCTCCAAGACAACCAACAAGTGCTTCGAAGCCTACCGTACGTCGATTTCAAAGGCCGTCGCGACCACATCTCGAGGTACGAGGGTGCTGTACAGGAATACACCAGCCGTGAGATGTCGTACTGGAGCGACAAACTGAATGCTTTCGCAGGCCTCGGCGCATTTCACGAAAGGCAGATGGGCACCGGACTGGTCTTTGGGCTGCCTTCGAACCAGCTCGACATGGCACTGCTGTGGTCTGCGGCGGACGGCCCATCGCTGGACAGATTGCCCGAGTTTCCGAGCTGGTCATGGGCGGGCTGGAAGGGCGCTGTGCGCTACCTCTCCCAGAACCCCGTTTCGCTGTCGCCCACGTGCAACTTCTGGGTAGTGGACAAGGACACGCGTGCTTCCTGTGATGGGAAGATGCTGGTAAAACGCCTCACGCAGGCTTGGGAGGCCGAAGACTACATTCCGCACGATCGCCCGCTTCAGGTCCGCCCCATCAACGCTGGAGATCGATAACTTTACACTCAAGTCGGTGTTACTGGGACCTTGGCCCGCTCAATAACACAACACCTGGCGCCCGACACGGACTTCAGCCGATGTCTCTGCTTCGATGCCCATCACTCTGACGCGTCGAAGTTCAGCATCAAGGACGGCCGCAGACTGGTGTTCAACAAAACCGGAAGAACCGTCGGCGGCATTGCTTTGGACGAGCCGTTGGATGCTACTACTGGCCTCGTCGCGGACATGGAGCTCGTCGTGCTCAACCTCTGCACGACTGGCCAGAGGTTGAACAGGCCTGGGGAAGACTACTTTCCTGAGTTTCTCTTTCCCAATCCTGATGTCAACGGTGTCATGGTGATCGCGGGCAAGGCGTCTAGGGCCAACGAGGCAGCCATGGACTGGTGCCGTTTCCTTCTTGTGAAGAAGAAGGCCGATGGGAGTGTGGAGCGAAAGGGAGTTGGCGATATGACCAGGGCGGCTTTGGATGCGGCTGGCGTAACGCAGAAAATGTGCTTCCTGACATGACCGTCTGGCGCGATTGACATGACAACATACCAAAATGCACGTCATCACATGCGCAAGGACATAAATAGTTGTCCCTTCGTTCGGCTAGGTAAGTTGAATGAAAACGGCATTTGATAATCGCGCATGTCTTTGGTCGATACACTCTCACGGCCATGTCTCCAGGGTCCCTAGGCTTTTGGTGGGAGAAAATAACATTCGGGACCAGCTCCGGCGAAGTGTGGGGCCATCCGCCCGCCGACCGGCCCCTTGAGTGGGGTACCTTAGACGGAACCGACCGCTGCCCGCTGGTTGCCAGAATTGTGCTGTGTCACGGCCGCATATGCCAGCTCAGAGTAAAGAGCAATCCACCCCACACACTGTCATTCCAGGAGATGTGACAAGGTCGGAAAATATGCCACAATCCAACAAGGTGCGTGACGTTCTTATAAGGCGTTTCACGCACGATTCGACAAGGTTGCAGAGGCTGAAACCGCGCCACCTCGCGAGAGACAACCCAATATGTACGGCCTTGCACAAGGAAACTGGCACATACGACCATACCCACTGGAGAACTCGGGATCCCGTCCGCTCTCCCATAGATAAGCCAGTGAGGGCCGGATTAGTAGTTGGGTCGGTGACGACCAGCGAATACCTGGTGTTGTATGTCTTTTTGCGCCTGGCTTTTAGTCTGTTCGGTTGGGTATAATGGGCCCCGCCTGGTCGCGACCGTGACTTTTAGTGGAGGATGACAAAGTCCCGGGGCCACGCGACCGACCATTTTGACTCTTAAGATGAGATTTACTTAGGAATTAGATGAGTGCAAGGTCTGTATTATTTTTTCTGAGGCATTTTGCTTAAGTTGTCATTTACATCAATGCAACGTCAACATCGTCGCATACTGCATTGAGGTCAATGCGACTTTTACGCATGCGCACAACGCCTGTCTCTAGACACATTCATGCGATCACGACCAGATCTCATTGTGAACTCTCACTCGTGTCTTAAAGATTACAGACCGGCTTTGCTGTACACCCCTATCTATAGAGGACAAGAAAAGTGCAATCTAATTTTGTTATTCTTCTAGCCTCCTTCTCAGTCTCATCTCATCGCTCATCTTATCGCTCATCTCATCGCTCATCTCATCGCTCATCTCATCGCTCATCTCATCGCTCATCTCATCGCTCATCTCATCGTTCATCTCATCGCTCATCTCATCGCTCACGTCTAATGCATCACCTTTCCCTATATCCGTAAAGCCCTTCTCGTTCAGGTTATGAGCTAAGACTGTCAGGACCGTTGTAGAAGCGGATAGTGATTAGACTCCGTTGCCGCTGACCAAGCGGCATTAACCATCCAGACCATCCTACATCATTGCAAAACTGGGACTGATTACGTAAGACCACGTCTCTTCAATTCCCAGCATATGAAACCTCTATTGTAGTTGTTCAAGCGGACGGGAGATCGTCTCGCCGCTGATAAAGCGGCACCAACGATCCAAAACACCCGATATTATTGCAAAACTGGGAGTTGTTCCTCAGAGAACCGTCCTAACCTTGAAAGTGATCACGGAAGACCGGCTTTTTCAATTTCCGGCAGACGAGATATCCAGGGCGCCACTGGAAGGCTCCACTCTCTATCTTGACAATTCCAGTTGTGTGATTCACCACCATCGTCTTGATTTGTGGATACGCTCCGTATCTCCGCGGGAACGGGGAGGCCGTGGTCCGTCCTCCGGCTTGAAAGACCGATTCCCCGTGATTGTGCTCTATAGATGGGTTGCTGTAGAAGAGAGAAAAGATTTATCAGTGAAGGGTCGGCTAATTCTCACATTTAATCAGCAGGCAACATCTACGCCTCTCAGTCAACTCTCACAACCAAGTTTGACCACGCTGTGCATGATGGCTTTGTTCGTAGAATCGTCGGCGGTTCTGCGCTTCATCAACGCGCATCCACTCCAACTCTTAGCTGCCCTCGGTGTCTTTGGGGCAGCATGGGCAGTGATCGTCGCCATGTATCGCCTATGGTTCCATCCCTTGGCGAAATTTCCCGGACCAAAAGCTGCAGCTTTGTCAGAGGGCTGGCTTGCTCGAGCTTCCATCGGCGACTACGTGGAGAAACGTCTCGACAAACTTCACGATAAATATGGTGGGTTTGAATATCGATCACCTTGCAAACCGTCCTCGCAGCTTTCAGTCCTAACCTCGTTCATTAATAGGTGCTCACGCTATTCGGATCGCTCCTAATGAATTGCACATCCGGGATCCTGAGCTGTACTCGACTATCTACAGCCAAAACACCACTTTTTATAAGCCTGATTCTTTCTATCAATGTTTCAACATGCCACACTCCTTGACCACCGAGCTGGATGCTGGCGAACATCGCAGCCTGCGTCGTGCTGTCAATCCGTACTTTTCAAAGCGGGCTGTCGAGCAGTTGAGCTCTATCGTTTTGGACAAACTCCACAAGCTTGAAAGCAAGTTGCGGCGGTTCAATGGGAAGGAATTTGATGCGCATGATGCGGCTAGGTAAGAGGTTCAGGAGCGGTGATCTTTATCCATGGCGCAGTAGCTAACTGCTTTTTCCCTTCTTTTTCTCCTTTGGCAGGTGTTTGACTGTTGAGCTCATCTCAGACTACGCATTTAGACTGGACGTCAATACAATCGAAGCCTCCAAAGACACATTCGAGGCAGAGTTCCTCCACATTTTCAATGTTGCGTCGGGTGCTCAGCCTATCATGCTATTCCATCCCACCCTCTCCCGTCTCAAATTCCTCCTTCCGCGGCCCTTGTTGCTCGCAGTCGACGCTAATATTGCGCAACTGCTGAAGCTTGGACAAGTAAGGAAACTCACCTACCTGATCGAAACCGAATGAATAATCTGGCTCACATACTATGAAAGTTTGCTGTAGACTGCATCAAAAACTACCACCGCAACAAGAACGAAAAAGGACATGCGAAGTTCGATCATCCCGTGATCTTCGACAGTCTTGAGGACAGGACAGATGCCCACAAGGGATCTATCGCAGCGGAGTTTCTTGTTGCCGGGTCTGACACTAGTGCCTTAACCATCACCTATGCCTTGTACTACATCACGGCAAACCCAACGATCAGAGAAAAGCTGATGAAAGAGCTGCTCGAGGTCATGCCAACTGCGGATACTAACCCAACTCTGAACCAGTTAGAGCAGCTCCCTTACCTTGTAAGCGCTCCCAAGCAAATTCAAGTTTAATTATCTAACACCGCTCGCAGACCGGCGTCGTGAAGGAATGCCTCCGTATGGCGTGCCCCGTCCCGGGAAGGCTGCCTAGGATTGTGCCCAATGACAAGCCCCTGATTGTCGATGGGAAGGTCGTTCCTCCTGGCGTAAGTTCTTAAACTACCTCCGGCAGTGCGGATCTTCGTGCTGACGCGCGAGAAAAGACCTTAGTTGGCATGTCGGCATACAACATGCATTTTTCGGAGAGTCTTTGGGGCCCCGACGTCAACGAATTCAATCCCGACCGGTGGCTCGGCGCATCAGGCCGCGGACTTGACCACTGGCTGGCTCCATTCTCCAAAGGATCGCGTGCTTGTATTGGGCAAAAGTAAGTAAAGCTTCTCCATCTTCTCGAACCTGATTGCTGATACCTATCGTCTTTAGTCTGGCGACAGCAGAGATCTACATGGCCGTTGCCTGTCTATTCCGGCGATTTAACTTCAGTCTTCCCCCAGGCGCGAAACTGGGCGATAAATGCGACCACTTTACCGTCTTCCTTAGCCAGCCCGGTTTGCCTTTGAGTTGCAAGCCGAAGCTGAAGTAATGGGGGATATCTCCCCTTGGATGACACGCGCTTTTTCTTTGCGATTCGCGGACCCCTAGAAGTCCGCATGCTTTAGTTTCACTTAGTCTTACTTCAATTTTACATCGTCTGAATCGGGTACATTGATTAATATACTTAGTCTCTGTTGATGAATCTTAATATGTATCCTTACTCGGTATGAACAGCATTTCCTCGGCTCTTATATGAGAGCGATGACCCACCTGCTGGAACACCGCATTTCGGTATCGTCTCACGGGCTCATATGCGAGTATGTGGATCTACATCCGTTGCATCAGAGGTGCCATTGATGCAGCCGTCACTGATAATCCCTGCAGCCATGTGTTAGACGTGGAAGCATCTACATTGATGGATGAGGTACGGGACGAGTTGCGGCAGTCGACATGTCAAAGATTCCATCCGAATAACGATCTCACGAATGAAGAGAGTGGGGTTCTTCAGCGAGATACAGACAGGTCAATACCAACGCCCCGATGAGACACTCATTTGGACTTAGGGTCCGGCGAGTTGCCCAGCCAGGGCTTTGAGAATAAGGTGGCTGGGCTCGCGTCATAGCGGGGGTTCATGAAGGGTCTTATCTCGGGATGCGTTCCCCGGAGCGACAACATGGAAAATGCAATGCTCGATTACAAAGCCACGCCCCCCAAACGCCCCAAGATTGAGGCATGATCCCAAACACATCGCAGGACTGGGCTGCCAAATACCGCAAGGGTTGATCGCGTCAACCTTTCCGGAAGTGGGCACCAATCCGAATCATCCACTAGGACCTACCCGAGCAAACACGGTTATGAGAAGAAATATGAAGCTCATAGGCACTTTCGCACCGACGTACAACATGATCTGTGAAGTCGGAAGGCTTAGCCGAGACAAAGTCTTGCCAAGCCAACTCAACCGAGCGGTGGTTGGTCACATTGAAGCATTCAATCGAGTAAATCGTCATTTACATACTGCGCAGTGCATAAAACAACCCTGGGCCTTCGAACCCCATTGAAATGCAGTAGGCAACATTGAACAAGGGCTTTTTGGTCATCGTCCGGTGGGCGCCGCCCCCGGGTCCACAAATCGTCCGGGCCGGGCCGGGAGATAATTGGGGTTCACATCGGCTCCCTCTCCCGTAAACAAGACCCATTATAACTGAACCACAAAATTCGCGATTGGTCAAAAAAAGATCAGCTTCCATTGATTGGCTGCGACTCCGCACTCGAACTTTTTGTTGGCGGCGACGGTCAGCCCGGAAGCCGAGGTTGCAAAAGAGCAAGGACGAGGAAACTGAAAGCAGAGGCTGGGGCGGAAATTTCGCTTCGCAATTGCCTTCGTACGGATTCATCTCTGTATCATGCAGGGGCTTTTACACGTGGCAGGCTCAGCTTCCATCCGACATGACCGCCCGACATGTTTTAACAACAAGGTCGGGGCGGTGAGAAGACCCCTGTATTGTGTGGATGCCAACGAACGATTTTCGGTGGGTTTTTAGACGTGAAAAACCAATGTCACTGGCCTTCTGCTTGTTGAAGGAGTTCGCTCCACACGACTGCAGAACACGCTTGACGTGTCTTGGGCAAGCTGGCTGAACCAGAAATTATTGCCTAATGCCATCGTGAATGTGATATTAGCTCATCCGAACAGTCCTTAAATCAACGAGGCGAGAAAATGGGAATGGTAGAACTCACACATCAGAAACGCGAGGACATCCATCACAAGAAACAAGTTGAAGAACCATGACCAACGACCAGGCAGCCCAGAAGAACTTTGGCACCATCTCGCCCCCAAAGAAGATCAACACGTACGAGATCTTTCTACGAAACCTCAAATTCAGCGTACCGAGCGAGCATGCAACCCCGGGCGAAGTGCGTCTGTGGCTTCTTCAGCTCCTCAAAAATCGCAAGGTCGACCTTGTCAATGGACCAAGCTCGTTTGCATCGGGGTGGAATGGCGCTGAGCTGCATTCCATGCACCCGAACCACATATTCGGCTGCTTCACATCCCATGGGGTCAGCCCGCAAACTGCCCACCTGGTTGCTGGGGATGTTGCAGAATGTCTCGAGGTAATCCTTGTCAACCTTGACGTTCTTGTTTTCACGTTGAGCTGATCATGGGCATTTGTTTTAGGACTATCGAATCAGACGGACCGCTTGTTTGGCCGCTGGCCAAGACTGGGTATCCAATGAGCCGTACGATGAGCTCGAAGACTACGTCGATTGCGAAAGCCAGCCCCTGCTCGGACAGGCCGAGGGACCGAGTCTTGCCCACGCGAAGAGAAGAAAAACCTGGATCATCATCTTGGTCATCTTCATTCTACTTCTCATCATTTCATCTGGTGTCCTTGCTTGGTGGTTGATATGAAAGGCGGTTATGCCAATTCAACTATTGAAACAAGCATCGATGAAGTCAGACCTCTCCATCCTTTCGTGATGGCGTGTCCCCCGGCATTGCGAACATGCTCCCAGCAAAAAGACTGAATGGATGTGTTTTGGATTGTCTGGAGAGGGCTGCCACCGGCCGGGAGTCGAAGTCGTCACTTTTGCGACCAAGAAGTCTGCTTGCTCTGAACAGCAGCAGCCGCCATCGCTCATGGGATGTGTTTCCATTCTCGAGACATTGTCATATAAAGTGACCGACACTCACCAGAAGGCTGTTTGTCTGGTGAGTACGTCGACTAGGCTTTTCGTCATGTCAAGAGGTGGATAGACTCAGGGAGGCAAGACTGACACAGCTATTAGTTGAGCCAGCTATTGGGCCCTCTCAATCTGTTTATGGCTGTGCGAACTTGTCTTCGAAGAAGGAAGTGAGTGAGGTTGAGGAGCAGGAAAGGTTACGCAATGGGATTCCAAGCCGATGAGTTTGACATTCATGTTTCATAGAGTCATTGAGCATGAGGCTTATCTTTCATCAAAACATGTAGTCCAAAGGTCGTAATTTTGTCTCGCTTCATACGTCAAATCTTATCATCCAAGCCTCCAGTCTAATTCGTATGATGTCTGGACGTAGTATCTCACTACCTTCCGTGCTTGGAATGAAAAACGTTTCATGTAACCCGTTTAGTATGGTGTTGACGATGATTTGATTCACGGCAGTCAGGCTGAGATTGAACTTCAAGGGTTGAGGATTGCGTTCGCGAGGACTCTAGGAGTACTCGTCCTGTCGCTGAGGAAGCCAAGAATCATAGACCGAAATGGTGACACAGCAAATGGTAGTAGAGTCCACAAACATGATGGTTTACAAGCCTTGTGCACAGGACAACCATGAAAAGCCACAGGAATCAGCCCCGAAAAGATCTCTTTAGCACTATGACCAAGCCATGGTCCTTTGAATGATTAGTATTACCCATTCAGACTCTTTTCCTGTGAGAAGTGGACCGTCTGGAGACACCCAACACCCCATGACCCGAAGGGTCCGGTCATGGGTTGCACGAGGCAGGCTCGCATGTTTGGCAGTGACCGAGCTCTTACCCCAAGCGCGCAGCCCGGACATGTTGCCATTCGGAATGGCGTGTTTCCTATATCTTGGAGCGACGTTGAGCGTGGAAGCGATGCCACATCGAGGAAAGTCACACCAAACCGATCAGAGAACAGGGCGGCGCGGGCCGGACCGACCCCACTGCGGAGCCCCACTTCCGGATTGCCCGAGCGTTCGGCGGCGCTGACCGGACTCAAGTTGCCGAGCTCTAGCATCCCGTCCCGGCCATCTGCCCAACCCACACGGCGACCGAGCGGCACATCGGGCCCCGTGGGCATTACTGCGAGGTTCCCCGCCACGAGTCTTGTTCTTGGGAGAAGATATCACCGACTACTTCCGGCGAGGTACAGCATGGCTGTCAAGGGCAACGTGGGAAGGCTGATGCTGTAGACTACCATATTTCCAGTCTGTCCGGCGGCTTGACAGATCTCCTATCGGCCAATTAATGGTGCTTCGCTCAAAATCGGATATCACAGGGACTATTGATATCCGGGATTTCAAGGTTGCCTGAAATCTGCCCAAATACTGTTGGACTGGGTAAGGGTTGACTCATCAACATTATGCTGCGTGCGCGGCGCCAAGGTTTTTGAGGCCTGAGAGTTTGGGCCCGTCCAGAGTCAGTAACAACGTGGGCGGGTGGTCGGATCCAGGCCAACTCAACCCGTCGAGCGGTCAGGTCTTGTGGCACGTAACATCCAGCGGGATCGTGATTTAGCAGGGGAGACATGCTTCATGAGTAATTTGAAGCTGCTCGAGATGATATTGAATCAGTCGGAGTGGCACTAAGAGGGACCGCGGTGCCGCGCAACATTCTTTTCATCGCGTCGACAAGCAGCATAACCTCGACGACGACCGCCGTTGTGTAATAGGAAAGCGTTTTCTCAAATCTTGAGGGCCTTGGAACGATTTCTCTACGCTCCCTAAGGTGGTATGTACCTGGACTGAGTCTCCTTCTCGTGATCTACGGACTACTTCTGTGTTTCACTGTCTTCCTGTGAAAGCCCCCCGTTGCATTCGACTCAACTCCATCAAGCCTCACTCTTGAGGTTTTTCCTTGATATTTTTGCATCATCTTGATCAAAATATCAAGCGAGTCGTACTTGTAGAGTTCCATTTTGGACCTTGATTACCCTTGCGGCAATACATCCTCCGCATTTCGCTCTGCTGTGCTGTGTTGAGGTGGAAATGAAGCCTGCACGGAAGTCTGTGTTGCAATCTCTTCACGGAAGGAGCGATTGAAGTTGAGCTTTATAGAGAGTACCTTCCGTTTCTACCACAACCGAGGCCTTCGCTTGGATCCTTCTTATTTCTTCCACCCGGATGGCTCATGCCCTCGGCAACGTCACCTTTCAACCGAAACATCACCGCAGAAACTTCCACTTCACACATCGTCGTCAAACTCGCAACACGTCAAAATGGTCAAAGCCGAAATGTTCTACCAGTGCCCTGTCGCCGAGTGTCGGAGTGCCGTTATGGCTAACTGCGGTCCGCTATGCGTTACTCACAAACGCGATGAGACCTTTGGGAAACTCCTCCTTATCGATCACACGAAGATCGGCATCCCGTGGGTCGGCCAAAGCAGGCGCGAGGGCAAGAGCTCAACCAAGGAAGACAACGAAGATGCCGAAGACTTGGATATGCTCAATCAGGCAATCCCTTCCGCCAAAGAGAATACTCCAGTGGCCCGGAAGGACACATCTAAGCTGCCGATGGCATGTTCGATCAAGGAGTGCAACAACCCGGTCGTGACCTCAACCCAGACGCGGTGCGTTGATCATCTTCCGAAGAATCGGGGTATTCAATACGGTGTACCCCTGACTTCCCGCCAGGCCGCGAAGATCGCGTACGGTAAGTTTTGATCCTTCCAAGATCTAAGGATTCTGCGTGCTGACCTGTTGATTTCTGAAAGACAACCACCATCGCGGAGACAATTCGTCAAAAGCTCCCGCTCGACCTCGTCGTAAGTTTCAGCCCTTTCGTACCCATCCAAGTGCTGCCTGCTAACATGTTTCTGTTTGAAGGTGAGGGCCGCGACCGACCTCCGTCGCCCGAGAGCAAGAGACGGAGGCTGCAATGAGAATGGCTTCTTATTCGAAAGAGTCTATGGCAAGGACAAAACACCAGGCGAGAAATTGAAGTTGGCAACCGAGATAACACAGTGGCACGAGACGTAAAGAAAACGGGCTATTGCAAGTACTTGATATACGGTCAATAGAAAGTTGATGAAAGTTTCACCAAATCTTCCCATACGAAGAGCATTGAGATGGCAGTATTCGTTCAATGAACAATTGCGTTCGGTATCACATCGGCAAGAGTAGTTGCCGATTTCGATCAGTTCAGAGTCCAGTGTTGCTGTGAGCTGCTCTGACGCACATGTATATGAAATGAGAAGACAACCAGCGGGTGGCAAATTGATAGGATGAACAATTATGGATGCAACATGGGATCCAGCGCGAGATGCACCTCATGCTCTGCCCTATCCTGGGCGTCATTAGTACCTCAAGGTGTTTGCCCGAAATGAAGTCGTCTCATCAGTATGTGTGTGTTGGGCGGCATACTCAACACGGACTTTCGCGGGGCGAACCGACTTCAATTGTGAGGCCCGGAGCCGGATTTCCGGCATCAGTACGGCAGAGGCGGAACGAACACCCGGCAAGTCTACTGGAGGTCTATCCTTTCAACCAGCGGGTTTCATATGTTCCTCAACTGTGTGAGTGCTGAGTAAAGAAAGGAACGATGACTTATGCTATTTTGCTGCACGGTATTGCAACATCTCCATGGATGCCTCATGTTGACATCCGAAAGGGAGGGAAAATAATTTGGGTGAAGATGATACCAGCATAGAGACCGGCGCAAAACAAGTTCGAGAGTACATATAAACCAATACCAGTATCAGACCGAGTGAAGTCCATCCTACCTGCGATGTGTTCATGTTAGAGACATCAAATAAATCAACAACGGCATACAACCTACCTGCATTTGAGAAGGTTTACCAACAAAGACGCCGTGTCCAGGGACTTTCGACATCAACCACGACGCCGAGCCATACTTGAAGGAGGTGAGCGCAGCCATGGAGTTGAACAAGTTCTCCTGACTGAAAGTTGATTAGTACCAAGATACAAATACACCAACTTTGCCCACGCTGTTGATGGTGACAGTGCAGCATACCCACTACGATGAATCTCTGCCTCCCGTACCAAGCAGATACCAGTCTCGTCAAAGGCGGCAACGCAAGTGTACCAACACAATATAAAGGCTTCTCAAACTCACCGATCTTGTGTTGAAAGCGCATCCAAACTCAGCTCAGCCATAAGTTAAAGCCAAGTCGCGGGCGTCGTTCATGGGGGGACATCAACTGCATCGAGTCTTGACTTCGGAAACGCTCTCCCGACTCGGCGAAACCGGAGCTGGGTCAGTGTGATTAGCGTCCATGATTCATGTCGAGATTCTCAGAAGAAGATTTAAATGCGGCGGTGCACGGCCTGAATGGTCGTGGGAACCAGAAGAGTGACAGGATATTCCTTGGGACAAGCGAATATCGAGGTATTGGAACTTCGCTCTTCCTCGATCTCGTTGTCCATCCCATCTTGGAGTGCTTCGTCGTACCGGGTACATGGATGAGTTGCTCCCTGACTCGGCATATGCCTCGAAGCCCATGGCCGAGCCTGTCTTCGGATGGCCCATCTTCTGGCCGCGTTCAACGGGTAAACTGAGAACTCAGTCAATGATGCTCATGCTTCGAAAATGTTGAGTCTGCGAGGGGCGTTCGGGAAACCTGTACCATCACAGTGTTGGTTCTGCCACATGCCCCCGCATGCGCGCGTTTGAATGGTCCAAATCACGTCATGTGTACGACATCTTCCGTACAGTAAAGAGATTAACTGCGAATGGTTGACCTTCGTCTTGGATTTGGAGGGTAGGACCATGGATTTTCGTTCATGTCATGAAGAGACGGGCCTCCGACAAAATCGGCATTCAAGACTGGGCAGAGTACAGTTCAGAAGTGACGGAGACGATAGAGAATGTGCCAAGGGGGACAACAACAGCAGTAACAATAAGGACATTCATGACAATATTGCGGTCACATCCACGAGAAGTACGTTCATAGCCTGGTGTCTCCACCAACGCTGGACGGATTCCGCGCTTGAACGTGAACGAGATTCACTGCCCACGACAAGTTTTTGTTCGACGACGAGAGATATGAAATGGCGCACCCCCAGCAACACATGCAAATGAGACAACCCCGACGCCATAACGGTCCAAGATGGTACGTCCAGTAGTAGTAAATCTCTTGGCGGAGCCCTCGTTAGAGAGAGTTGAGGTACATGAGGGTCGCATCGGCTGCCAACCAAGCTATAACCCACTAGATTCGAGTTTCTAATGACTTATGCTAGTGATTAATTGCAGAAATATTCACTTATAGTTTGTAATAGTGTTAGGTTGATCTTAATTTGAGGATATATAGCCCTTAATAAGGAGGTCCGCCTTATTAAGTATATAACTATATCACCCTTATAGGATAATATTATATAGATATATACCCTCTTAGCTCCTCTAAACCCCTATTATCCTATATACCTATCTCCTCTATATATCTTACTAATTAGACTATTCTCTTTATATTTTTATTATTAAGTCTTTTATACTTAATAACTAAGCTTTATTTATTTAATAAGAGCTACTCTATAGAGGTATTCTTCTAGAGGTTTATTTATATATTTATATATATATATAGAATATCTTAAAGTTGTTTTCTTTTTAATTTTATTATTATTAAGCTATAATATTAATTAAGTTTAAATATAAACCTTATAAGCTTTATATATTATTTAGGGAACTATTTAAAATTAATCTTTAAAGGTATAAACTTAAGCTTTTAGAGTATTTATATTACTTTATTATTTAAGCTATTTTTAATATTATTTTTTATATATTTAATATATTAAAGCTTAAAAACTTTTTAAAACTTATTTATAAAAAATATAATATATTTTATAATAGTTTTTAAGTTAATTAAAATTTAAAACGTTATATTAATTATTTAGTTACTAAAAGTCTCTTAATATAATATATATATAGCTAGAGATATTAATAAGGATAAAGATTCTTTAAGTTACTAAAGGGGGCTTTATTAGTCTTTTAGTAATTTATATCTATTAGAAATACCCTTTAAGGTTATTATAACCTTAATAGTTAAGGCTATTTATAACTAAATAAGCTAAAAACTTAGCTAAAAAGGCTTTATATATCTATAGGGTTTATAAACTTTTATTATATTAAGTATTAAGTATTATAATTATATTACGTTATATAGAAAGTTATTTTATTATATAGCTTAATATAAGTGTTTTTTCTTTTTTTTTATAGCTTATAATGTCCTTATTTCTTCTAAATTTCTTCTTTTAAGGATGTGTGTCTAGGAAGGCGTGTCGGCAAGCCGGCAGCACTTTGGTTTCGGTTTGGACACACACCTCTTCACAAATGGAGGCCGGTGTGTGACTATAATTCCAACTTTAAGCTCCTCCACGTGGTCGGGTGATGCGTGCTCTTGAAGAATTGTCTGCGTGACGGTAAAGACCAACGAGGGCTCGCAAAGCCGAAGTAACGGCTCTTGGCCATGGACGGTGTTCGATTGTGAAGAATGCAGACGTGGGCGAGGCGCTGCTTGATGGTGGACGAGAGTGAGAACTATGAATGTCGTTGAAGATGGTGTTCAGTCCCAGCGGTGGAATGGATGGAAACGGTAGGAGTGATGAGCCAGAATCGGCGGAAAGAGTACACATACCTAGACTGGAAGGAGATGGCCTGGTGCCCTTGACATCTGCACCTTCGGCGGCAGCGTAGGATGGTACATTCATACGGCTAGTCAAGGAATGCGCAACCTTCTTCCGAGAGAACCAATCCGTTGACCATCCTGTCCTCGTCCAACTTCACACTATCCCCTACCATCACAAGCTTCCGACTCCAAACCATTTACGGCAACAACAGGCGTTTGAATCACAATTACGCAGTCATTGTAACGGCGTTGCAGCAATTCAACATGTCTGGAACACAACCTATGGACAGTGCCGCCCCCGACGGCATGCCGATCGACCAGATCAGCCCGGCCGCCCCCGACATGGCGCAGAATGACCACATCATACCGGCCGCCCCCGATATCGCGGAGAACAACCATGACATCTCGGCATTCCCAGACTCCATGCAGAACGACCAAGCCGTGTTGGACAGACGACGCCGCTTGATGGATATCAACACGGAGCTGTTCATAGTGGCAGATAATGCACAAGACGCTGAGTCGGCCACTACCTGCTCCTTACTCCTGGAGATCATGGATCGAGCGTCGAAACTCTCTGCATGGGTGGTTTGGAATGATTCCGCCCAAGAGACATTGGATGAAAATATCAAGGAGCACGGCGGAGGCTTGACGTTGGAGAGGGTTCAAAGCCTCGCGGAGGGAATGGAAACGGACGGCGAGACGTATGAAGAGACCATACAGCGCCATTTGACGACACTTGAGGAGGCACTTGAAGCCGTGGAGAAGCGTCTTGCTCGCGAGAGTACGGCGTCCGATCAGGATCAGCCGCAAGTCGAGGATGACACGGAAGCCTTGGAGTCGCTGTGGAAGAGGCTTGAGGCGATCGATCTGGTTATGTGATGGAACGTACAATGGAAGACAGGGGCTGGAGTTGGGAAACGACGGGTCAAGTTTCTGGTTGGTGCCGACACCGTCAGATTGGGGATAGGCTTTGGGGCATTTGGAACCGGCGACTCCTCTCGGAAGATCGACGTCATCGTGAACACCGTCCACGAACGAGTTGTGTAGAGTAATGAGTATGTCACTACCCTCGTCGCCGCATTAGTTCATGCCTTTCTTCGTGGAGTGGTATTTGCTTTTGATTACGCTTCCGAGTATGTATTTGATCCGCTTTGTATCCAGTTCCCCTCGCCAGAATGCCCAACCATACCACCATCACACACAAGCTCTCGCCGTTGACGCACCCTGTACCAACACCTTATTTCTTGGGGAGCAGTGGTAGGCTTCCGTTGGCCTGCAGCTTATTGATAATCCAATCCCCAACGTCCATCTCCATCTCTAAGCAACTAAATCCCATTTTCCCAAAACGTTCAACCGCTTATTTCAGGCAGTCAGACATGACCTTATTTATAGCTTTAATCCCCTTCCTAGTCTCAACCTAGAGCCTTTCTTCAAAATCCGTGATAATATTCTCTAGATTCGCATTATACTTAGCGACCAATTCCAATCGAACCTACAACTCGGACGGTGATTTATCACCCGTATGCCGTCCAGCGCATATCGCCAACACAGCGTTCATGGCATCGTCAGCTATCGTTGTCAAGTTGAACAATTATTCAGCTCTAATGAAGTCGGATACCAACGCATTTAATTCGGTCCATAGCTTAACGGCGCCCGGGGTATGGCGAGCATTATAGGATGGAGTAACAGCTAAAAGCCAGGTCGTTATTGCTTTGCTGCTATATAAGTTCAGCATAGTGGGGCTTTTCTTATAATACTCCTCAATCTTCTTAGGTGTCGAGAGTTCCTCCTTAGAGGACTACGCGTCTTAAGACTCGTTATACGTAGAGCCATTCTTCATGGGTACGGGGCCACAGTCCGGTAGGACGGCTCTTATCCAATCCACATATGAAGACTTAGCGCATATCCTGACGTGGTTGTCGAACGCAGCAGCCAGTTCCGGGTTTTACTTATTAGTAATATCGACGTAGTAGCCAGAGAAGTTCTCCTAGATCGCTTCCAAAACCCGATATCTCACGTCCTCAAGATCGAACTAGTGGGATGCAACGGCATCAATTCGATCCAAGATCTTGCAAATGGATTGCACCATGCTAGGCCCGGTTGCCATGTTGTGTGGTGATATTGGCTTTTGGGATATGATCTATTGGAGAGGTTTACGTCCAAAATAGTCGGTCTAGTGTTGCTGTTGAGAGATAGATACAGTTGTTGATGTTGATGTTGTTGTCGTTGTTTTCGGTGAAGTGGGAACGGACTGGGACACCTGCAGATGGAACTCCTGTGAGGTGAGCCTTCCAAAGCTATCAGGTGCCATCTTATGCCGACTACCTCGCCCCTGCCAGCGTAACCTCTCATAAATGTAGCTCTTTCTTAGATTGGAACTTGGCTGGGACGAATACTCCCAGCCGGCCAGGGCTGTGCGTGAGGCCAGGCGCGGCTCAGCGGGGTGCCTGATCAATTGACCCCGACAGCAGGACGTGTCATCCCGCCTTCTGATCACAACCATCGACGGTCTATGCTGCCAAACCTGTTATTCGGGTTCTCTGGTTTCCATAGGAGTATGCACTAGTCGAGAAATTGAGAGTCTCTTTGGCCTGAGGCCTGCTCCATTGCTCCACTGGGGGTTTTGGCGTGCTGGGGGCAAATGTATGAGTCTCGTTGTGAGGGTCTAGAAAGCCCTTTCGAGGTCGGAAGCTCGTGATGATCGGTCCTGTTGAGGGCAAGCCAGTTCAGTCTTGCACTCAAGATGGGCGTTCCGTGATAGGCATGGGCTGAGAATACGCTAGGAATGGGGTCTTTTTGATCAGGGAAGACTACACTTAATTCCAGACCTGTTCAGTGATCCTTTCTCAAGGCAGCGGCATACAAAGAACGTTGCGTAGATCAAGATCACTGTTATGCCTCGCATCCAGTGACAGATCTCCCATCCAGAAGAGATTGAGTAACCACAGGGTGAAATGGAAAAGTACTGGTGCCCCCGCCATCGCGAGATACTTCAAATACCAAATTGCAGCGATGATTCGCCTTCGTCTTCGTTGCTGCGTTTCCAGTAGAGCTTCCTGAAATGCAACGCAAACCGCAAAGGCCACCACAGCTTTTTGCTCGAGGTCACCTCCCCGGCGTCCAAAGATCAACGAAGTCCCTCTCGTCCGACAGGTCCCACTCCAAAGGTGTTGGTTGCCAGCCAACAAGGAGACAAATACCAAACTGCATTCTCCGTTTCCTCGCCATTTCCGTGACATTTCAATGCTCTTCCTGCACCCCTTTCCTACCGCGACCCTCTGAAGACGGCGCGGGACGAGGAGCGTGCCAACAGGATGTTCAACGACGTGGTTAACTGACTCCACTATGACACCGACGGCGGCGAGTGCCTTACACACCGGTTCGGGGAGGAAACGGTCGGCCGAGAAACATAGGCAAACGGCGCGCCGCATATCAATACCGCAGCATCGTCTACCAGTGTTGTTGAAGCAAGAAGACTCTTCAGTAAGAGGCTGTCGACGTCGGCCAGTCTATCCGGATACTTTGCGTCTCCTCGTGTCATCTGGGGGTTGAACAGGACGTAGTTGAATACACTTACGTCGAGGGTGGTCGAGAGAGAGATGGCCTGGCACGTCTTCGCGGTCAGATCCAGGTTTCTTTTGTGACGTTGAAGAACAACAACCGTCTTTTCGCCCTGCCAACCGAGCAGAAGCAACGAGATGGCCTTGAACAGACCTTAGCGGGGGGTTGTCCTTTGCGGTGCGAAGCTGCTGACACCATGGGTGCACAGCGCGGAGGTGGCAGTAGCGACATCCATGTGCAGAGCTCCTGACTTGGTGCCAGCTCTTGGACGAAGGTAGGTAGAATTTCTTCACCAGTTTCCGTGAAGAAGCCCCGAGAAGGTGAAGACGGAAAAGGAAGATGGAAAGGCAGGAACGGAGTGAGGACAGGACACCAATGACTGGAAGATCAAGAAGGGAAGGTGAGACGAGGAAGGATGAACGCTGAAGGAAAAGATGGGGAGGCACCATTTTCAAAGCCGCAGAATCCGGTGCATCTTCACCTTCCCGTAAATGAAGTTGCGTCATTGGAAATGGTTCCTTCGTCTCCTATGATCCAACAGCCGGAAGGGGCTTTTTTGCTTCATGGTACCTGCCTCATAGGATTTGACCCCGAGGTAGTGCATCCTCGGTCGCTCAGAACCCGGTTTCGATATGTTTGTGGCATGAGAATTGAGTCCCGTCCCCAACGGGCGCTGCGCTCGTTTTTCCTCCTGAAAACTCGTGATGAGGCAGCAGATGCGCTCAAGGCGTGAAGTGGTTGCGGCCTGGGCTTGACGATCTGGACTGCAGTGGGTGGGGCCGGGACGGGGGATGCACCGGGGTTCTGCCGATTGATACGACGACAGCTCACGCGCCTGCCGTGCGCCTCGGTGGACGCTTTTGCAAAAGTGGCTTCAGCGGAATGCCCCGGGCTGAGGGAGGCAGCCACCTTGGGGTCTCTTTTGGGTGGCAGTCACGATGGGCGCAATCTGGAGAAGGAAGGCGTCACAGCCCATGTGACTGCCACTTTTCGGTGGTCGCAGCTGCCGTGACCAGATTATCGGGTCACATCTGGAAGGCTTGACGGTTGGCGGTTGGCATGCACCTGCCGGCAGAAGTGGCCACCAAGGACAACACGTGAGCTTCCACGTCAGGCACCAGCGCAGGTTTGAAGTCCCCCGAGAAGCTTCGCTGTCTGGAGACCGACGGCATCTTGACTTCCCCTCAACAAACCACGCCGCCGTTATCCACCGGTCCATCGAGTTTTCATCCCCTCTACATCTCAGATCACGGCCGGTATGCCTCGCAGCACAATGCAGCCACCCTTATCTTCTTTTGCTCCATTCTCTATCACGCCTTACCCCAAGCCACACACGTCAACAACAAAAGCAAGCAAGCACCCAAGAAGGCCAAGGTTGACTCTGGCCAGATCGCCGATGCACTCATCGACCTCTCCAAAGACATACGCAAAGATCACGAAAAACTTTGCATGCACGCTCTCAAGTCCACCACGCCGGCTGCACCACACTCCGCAGTCAGCTATGACCAACAAGCGCTTCCCCGTCCGTCGGCTGCATTCCCCACGAACTCCTCGTTCTCCAGCTTTCAATATCACCAGCGCTACAAGAGCAGTAAGAATGCCCAGAACGGTGTATTCCTTTCCGATCTCCACAACCATGATCTCAAACGGACGCGGACGCGGCCTACGAATTCTTGCGTCACCAAGTCTTGTCGCCCGGAAAGGATAGGCTTTGCTTGAGGCACTTCAGCCTGAAACTCATGTTGCGGCCAATGCCTTCACGATAACAGCAGAGACAATCCATCGACTGGGCCGATACGAGTTCAAGCCAAGTTGACAAGAACAAGGCAGGTTGCATTCGCGTTCACATTTCGACGGCACAATGTCTCCGTTCCTGGCTGACAATGATGGTAGGAGTACGCATCCCGAGCCGTCCAACGACTTGCCGATACAGGAAGAAGCATTGAATTTCGTTGAATGGGCGCCGTAACAGGAAACCAAGTACACTGGAGCCGGTCTTTGCCACCAAGATGTTTCTCGCATGCCTAATCTTTGGAGCCAGCCAAGACGGCCCTCACACATGGAGAGCAGCCACTTACTTCAGCAAGCTTGTTGTGTTACAGTCGATGGAGAAGTCGGGGTTTTGGTGGCTTGTCTTGGTGGAGTCTCAGTTGGCTGAGGAATCAAGTCTGCATTCGCCGGCACTATGACTCGTGTCCTTTCGGCTTTCAACACAACGGCGGGAGGTTTCTGTATTCCAAGAGAGTTCGAGTAATGTGACAAGACTTCAAAACGATGTTGACCACGTTGGATGATGAAGTGTACACCCGATCCCGCCACGCCCGTGGCGCAGCTGCTGGCCCGCTGCAGAGTGGGGGGAATTGCTTCGAGCGACAATTGGCGGACACGGCACGCATCCTTCTGGTCATTCATACCTTCGTCACAGCCGGTCTGTGTGCCTTGCGCCCCGACTGTATCCACCCTTCTACCTTCTTGGATATGTTGCCATACCCAAGGCGTACATCGGTCGAACGAAATGTCGAGCTATCCTACCCTTCTCGAAAGCCCGTTAGCCTTTTGGCCTATCACCGATTCATCACGCCATCCATTCTTTTGCGCTCCCGAGATGAACTACCTACACGACTCGATTCCTCGGGCACCGAAGAACCCTTTTTCCAGCTGGATAAACCCGACGAAAGGTTGGCTACGCAGACTCTCATACATCCACAAGTTTCACATCAATGACGATGGCTCTTGAACCCAGAAGTCGAAGAACACCACGAGGGCAGCCATGTTGACTACAGGACTTCAACTGCGGCGCTCTTCTCTTCGATCACACGGACTTCCCATCATGAGCGCCATTCTTCAGGCAACTCCTCACAGCGGAAGGTTCTCTAGATAGAGGTTTCTGCTTGCACTGGTCTCGACGCTTTGATTACGCCATCCTTGCTGCCGTTGGAACTGCAAGGCCATCCTCAATGTCGATAAGACTCCAGGCCAGGTTTGAGCAGTGATGTATCGCTGTCAACCTCACTGAGCTCAGATCAGCCTTCGCCAATGCTTCGAGGCGCTCGTCGTTGTGCGAACCATCTTCGGCGATTCGTTCACCAGTGTCAAGAACCTATACAAGCTCGAGAACTCTCGACAGCGAGCTCCTGCTCCGCTTCTCACAGCATCATACGGCGAGGTCTCCATCCTCTCTTTAGGGGGACTCTTCTGACCTTCCTGGTGCCCAAAAGAGATGTCGACGCCAAGACTAACTTCTCAAGCTGCAAAGCTTTTCCAGCTATGGGTAGCCACAGTCTTATTTATCACGGTTTGTGATTCGTCGAGGACTCAAGGGCAATGTCCATATCCTCACTGTTACCAGCTTCCCAGCAACTAACGCCGTTCTATTAGTTAGTGATCCTACGCCTCCGACCGTAACGTTGCCCAGGGGTCACGGCTCAAGCCACCGGCCAATGCCTTTAACGCGCCAGTATCCACGCCCATAAGGATGGTTCCGCAGTGTGTACATCGAAACGGAAAACCCGATAACAGATCAGAGAACCCCGCGAAAACTGAAGCTGTGAAAGTATCCCAATTCGCCAAGAGACATGGGTGATTGACGGGGAACATGCCTCCTGCCTAAGTTGAATCTTCAGGTGACGGCGGGCGACAAGATTAAGGCTGCGGGACGATTCGCGAGAGGACGTCACCGTGAGGGAAAGGGTTGACAGGACTGCCATCACTAGTTGAGCTGGCTTGAGGACGGATCTAGCGAGTATTTCGCAGCCTGATGGTAATGCCCGTTGCTTCAACCGAGAAGCCTGCTGGTACAAGGCCGCTCAGATACCCAGGTCTCTTTTTGTCGAGTGGCTACCTATCATGCTCGACACCGACCGAGAGTCCCGAAACCAAAGCATACGAGGCCAGATCCCGAGCCAAGAGGAATTCGGGGATCCATTCGGTGCTCTTGAGGAACCAACGCGGGATGCGGCTTCGCTAGACTGAGTAAACCTGGCGAATGGCGTGGCTGAAGGAAAACGATCTTCAGACTGGTTGGGTTAGTACGTGAAGACCAGGCACTGAGCCTTCAAGACCCGATACGCGGAGACCCAATACGTGGAGGCCCGATACGTGGAGAAGCAAAGAGCGAATTTGATCCCGGTGACTGAGTCAACAAGTAATTAGAGGTTAAGGTTATAAAGCATACCGTGGGCGCATGTCTGTTTATCGGGTTACCTTCCACGCGCGTCCTAACAACCGCTGAAACCTGGCCGGCAGATTGATGGCTGCCAACAGCTGGCACCACCAGTTCCGCCAGCCGGTACAGGCCAACTTTCCTTCGCCGTCTTGCCCTCAGTCCCGGCCCGCTTCTTTACCTATTCATTACACGACTAGTGTCGTGCCGTTGTGCCGGCTCTGGTGCCAACTTTCTCCATCATTCTCCAATTCATCGAGGTTTGCCGTTTGTCTTAACTCACCCCAAGGTCACGGGTAATTCGACGGCGGAACAGGTTTTCCGAGATCCGAGACCACGCCGAGGTCGGGTTCTATGTCACCATCCGGAGTCAGGCCCGAACACTCAACATCAGCGACCGCTTCAAACGTCTTCCTTCCAGCCACCTAAACAACAACATTTCGATTCCTGCGGCTCCGTCAGCCGAGAGCGCATCCGAATCAGCTACACACAGCTTCTTCACCGCTGGCGCCTATGTCGCTCTCGCCCCGCGCGCGATTACGCACCAACAGGGCCTCAGCTTTTGACTCTTGACTGCCTTTGACGTCTCCGCGCAGGATTTCCGCCCAGAATCTTTTCTCAGCGAACGGGCTGAATCTTGCCTCAAGACCAGAATCGACGAGAGTTCACGTGTGGTGAGCATCCGTACATCTTGTTTCCTGCCGTTTGCGAGCCTCAGAGCCAGCACTGACACCCGACTTGACCAGACTTTTCACAACCGAACCGTTACCCAAACCGTCACCCGAACCGATTACTACATCTGCGCGCGCAGCGCCCGCGACGCGAACCTCCACCGATACGACAACAACCAGGGACAGTGCAATGCCGCTTACGCTGCGTGGCCACTTCTAGTCGCCCTTGCCCTTTCCCACGTCTTCTGCCTGGATCATCCCTGCCGCACCTAGCTCGTCTACAAGTTGCTCTCTACGATTGCTAGCTGTACGCTTTTGAAAGCGGTGTGGATACCGAGGTCGACAGAAGGGAAGCTATACATATCCTTTGGGCACGATTGACACGGAGTCACCAACTGCATCAAGTCACTTCGGTCTGTCAGTCAGCGAGCCTCCAACCAAGCGAAACGGTGCTGGCTATCCAAGATTCAGGCCCTTTCGCTGTTGCCGCTCCACTGCCTAGCTCTACGGCTCTCTACGTGCGTCTGCATATGAATCCGCAGGACATCTTGTTCTCGTTGCAGCAACAGCGGCATGTAGGCATGCACGAAGAAGACATCTCCTTCATTTACGGCTGCGACGGACATAAGCGCGAGCTGGCAACTAAGGCATGATCGGAAGACACCCGAGGAACTGCTATCTGACTCGCCCATCTTGTCTCCTTGATGCCCGCCATCCGGTCTCGACCCTCGCCCCTCCGACCTCCGCAATCCGCCCTCCACCTACCGCCGAGCTCTTCAACCTGCGTACGACTCTCGTGTGGCATACTCCAGTCATACCGCGGCTCTCTTCCGCGATTCGCCCATCGTCCTCTTCTCTACCCAAGCCGCAGTTCTTCTTGCTTGCGACTTCTTTGTGGCGTATCCTAGCTCTACAGTCTACATCTACCCATGAGCGCTGAACATCGAGCTTTTGTTCCTTTGCGCGACCAGGGTTTGAACTTTGGACTTAATGAAGAAGGGGCACCCATCTTCAACATGATTACGGTCAGCGCCTCGGTCTTTGAGGAACTGACAGCGGCTGGCAGCCGCGATGCCCAGCTGCGCGCCGGCGACAAGAAGACGGAGAACCAGGAGAACACCTTCGAACAGGCCAGGAGCATCCGCAGCGCGTCGGCCGACAAGAAAGCGGCAGGTTGGATGTACGTCGAGGTTGCTATCCTATCTCGGTCCTGCATGACACAATAGCCATCAGAGCAGAAGGTGGCTGCGATGCTCTCCGCTCGTCCTGAATGATGCCGAGCCCGAAACCCGACCCCGGCGCTCAATTGTCTTTGGCCCTCCCTGGGTAATCACATAGAGCGACCTGACTATCCATCGGACACATCTGGAACAACACGGAGTTCTGTGTCAAAAGGGCTCCAAGCAGCTGGGCCCAAGTACGTCCTTCTCGCTGTCACAGACTCTCAATGCTCTCAGGGTAAATATTCACCGAAGATAAATTGTTTCCTCTTTTGCGCCGAATCCCAGCTAACGGTTCTGCAGCATTTCCTCTACAATTTCCTCCGATCGAGGCCTCGGGCCATCCAGCCCAACATAGTGCACAAGATCCCCGCAGAGCGCGCTCTGCGCCGGACAGCTGTACGGAATGATGTCCGCCTTAGACGCAAGAAGAATGGGAGGGAAAAGAGAAGAGGGGTGCGGAGTGATGAAACGAAGATCGGAGCCCATCCATCCGTGGAATGCGTACAGTGAGCCGTCTTGGACGCTCGCCCCCAGTCTCGGGGTCTGCAAGACGACTACCGATGAGTGCGCGCGGGGAACGACTCTGGAGCGATATTGCTTCATAACCGGCCACACGTTCTGCCGATTTTTCTCGCGGCGGTACTCTGGGACCTCGCACTAGCTCAAGGCCATGTCACTACGCAAGTCGTGTCAGGAACTCTTGAAGGCGTAGGAGTGGGCGAAAAGCAAGGCGTCTGGGTCAGGTTCCACATCGGCGAAGTGGGCGATGGAGAGGCTCTGGGTGGCGAGGAGTCAAATCGAACCCATGACCTTTCCGACCAGCTTCACCGATGCTAAGGTCCTCCGCAAGATGCGGCACACCTTTGAGCATTCTGGTATACAACTTGCACCGTACGCAGGGGAGCAACGCCACTAGGAAGAGGGTTGATTCTGACGCCTGGCGGCGGCCAGGATGGCGGACGGACGTGTTCCTGCCATTGGCTATCGAACTGCGGGAGAGTTGACAGTTGACGACTCTACGTACTGGATCCCCAGTGGAAATTCCTTCGCGTCGGCTAGAGTCTGTTCCGGAACAGGGACTGGTCTCACGAGACGTATTGGACCTAGCGGATATAGGTTATTAGGGTGGCTCCTATAAAAAAGCCTAAGGTAGCTCCTATAAAAAAGTATACTATTTAAACTTCTTTATTATTATATTAATTAGGCTAAAACTCTACTTTATATATTATTTACCCTATTATTATTACTATATAGCTATTTCCCCCTTTATATTTTATTATAACCCTTAAGATATTAATTATTTCTCTTTTTTCTTATTAAGCCTCTCTAATAGTATTAAGAATAGCATTTTAATATAAAGTATAAGTTAATATATAAAAATAACTAGCTAAATAGTATTTACTTTAATAAATATTAATTAAAAAGAATTAATATATATTTAATAGAGTTTTATAACTTAACTAAATAATAACATTATTATAAATAGTAATCTTTTAGAGCTATATATTATAGAGGAAAAACTAAATTAATATACTTTTAAAATAATTAAGCCTTTAATATATTATAATACCTTTATTTTTAAAGAAGTATTAAAAAGAGGTCTTATTTTATTTAGTAGTTACTTAAAGGTTATAAAAGCTATTTTTAAAGTTTTAATAAAATATCTAAATAGCTATTAATATAATAATAAGTATTATCTTAAAGGAGTTAAAAAAGCTTAAAAAAGAGAGATAAAAGAGGAAGTTAGCTTATCTCTATTATATAATAACTCTATTAAATAGAGTAATAATATAAAGATTTAAATAAATAAAGCTATTTATAACTACCTTTTAAATAAATTATATACTTAAAGTTTAAATTTTAATAATTTACTTTTAAGTTAAATTAAGAGGAAACTTACTTATTTATAATATTAAAAATAATACTAACTTTATTACTATATTAGGTTAAAATACTAGTTATATAGTATATAAATACGCTTTGCTTATATACCTTAGGACGCAGGTTGTTGACGGCGAGCAGAACCCCTTCTTAGCGATCTCGTGTTTCTGCTTTTTCTTTTGAAAGCAGGTTGTAGTAGCAGAAGCCATTCTCAGGTGTTTCAAATCCTTCACGGGCTCGGTTTTGGATGGCATCCCGGCAGTACGGAGTCGAAGGGGTGGGCTGGCCGCGTTATTTCGGTTGATATCAAGGTTCATACGGAAAGAAAGAAGTATCCGGGAGTGGCCTGGTTACTGTGGCGCTGCCGGGTAGTTCACGGCGGGGCTGTCGATGCACCAATGGGCTGAACACGACGATATGTCCGCGTTTCAGACCCCTCAGCGGTTGCGTGAGAAGTGTCCCAAGGCGCCCCAAACGCACCACACCGTTGCTGACCCTCGTGTCGTGGAGGGTGCGACGTGTAACGATGCTTTGGCATCGGGCTCGCCGGGTGGCGCTCCGCAAACATGGCAGGCCCATGAACAGGGCGCAGGCAATGGATCCCGCCATGGGCTCGTTGTAGATGTAACAAAACGTTTGACTCCTCTGTCCGGGATCGAATGACAACCTGCCCTTTGTGTGTGAGGCTTCGAGGCATACCTCGTTGCCGTTGAATCATCCGATCATCAGTCCAAAACGTTCGTACACCTCAGCTTACAGGTGACAACGGGACGATCCCTGATGCCCACCGAAGACAATGCTCGGGATCTCCTATGTTGTTAGGAAGTCAGTAGTAACAGCCCATCTATGAAACTGGCCGTTTCTCACGCAGAGGGGCCCAACTTCAGGCAAAAGCACTCTCACAATTCGCGGCTAGGCGAAACCCGATAAACTCCCGAACCAGCTCGTGGCACTGTGAAGCTGCGCAACGTGAAATCTGGGTATCTTCGCTAGGGGAGGCGAGATCTCAAGATGCTTCAAGTTTAGATTGGAAGAGTATCTGACAATCCTCAGGATCCGCATCGTTCCGTCACCAACCATTGGCTCCAGTTTCGTGATGTCCATTTGACGATTCTGAACCCCCCGAGAGCCACATGCTTCGTTGGTGGGATGTCCTTAGCCGGCGACTCTGCGAGCGAAGCGGCAGATAATATCATGGAGGCTTGAGTAGAGTGACAGCTCAACTCCTAAGACTAGGCTTACAGAGCATGCCCCAAGTGTTTGTTTGGCCGAGCTGCTTCTCCGCGAGTATCATGAAGTAACGATGACACCACCCCCATGGTTCCGCCCAGCCGGGATCCTCGTAGTTGCGATTCCTGACTTGATTAGCCGTCTCATAACACGTACGTACGTTGAGAGGGCTCTCAGTTCTCGATTCGTGGTCAGCCACATCAACAATACGCACGTATTTGAGTTGGACTATTGAGAAAAACCACGGCGGTTCAGAGGCTTGCCGGCCCAGAATAGATTTGTCATGTCTCCTGCGCAGTCAGCGTCTAGTATCCGCAACCCAGCTTCACATATTCTCAATGAACGTCTTTGTCTATGTCTTGTTTGTATGACGACTTCCTGAATAACACACTCACTCGCCATTCCCACCGACTTTGCTCCTAACCACAGCGTCCGGTCCGTGGCAACAGAGCACAGTCGTTGACAGCCCCCGCCTGCCTTGTGTGAACAGGTAATTGAAGAGATCAAGGGTCGATTGGCGCAAGAGGTGCCAACCCCGCCGAAAATCTGAGTTTCTTATACTTCCAATGATCCGGGTTCCAACAGGGAAAGGTCATATTCTGGCATATCACTCGTCAAATGATTGGAATAAATTGCTTGGTATGTATGAGGGGGTGATTCCACGCACTAGTCCTTGCCCGCCTCCTCGGTAAGTAGAAGTGACAAGCTTATAGATCAACGAAAAGGGATTTGGAGGGAAGAAGAGAGCCGAAGTTGCACCTCATTGGTCAGGTTTCCGTCTTTCTTGACGCCTTGACTCTGGCACTCCCACTTCGCAGTTCTCTCTAAACCTGGACTCTTCGTTCGAACCTGAGTAATGGGACACATTTCTCATGGCTATTCAGCCAGGTCGGGCACTTGCGTAACTGTCTCGTTCTTCAATAGCCACCACAGTCACCCACCGAGGTCTTCGTCGCAAACTCGCCGCTTGGTAGGTTCCATTCCAAAGTGGTCCAGCAAGGCCATGTCAAGGACGGCTCTTGTGAAGTAGACCTTTCACTCGGCCGTTTAGCCTTACCGCTGTCCTTCATCTCAGCGATTGCCTCCCAGGCGCAACCTTTATATCGTTTGCACCACCCACCCTCAACACTTGTTGAAAACGCAGCCTTGGCCACGGTTCCGTGCCAACATATGGGCATGTTGACCAGCGAAGCCGTTCCAGATGGCCATTCTAGCTCTTGGGTTTTCGCGGACAAAACGACAGAACCAAGGGCCGCCGGAGTCTTAGCAACTATATCTGACGCTCTTCCACTACCCCGAGAAAGTCCTCAACATGGAACGCGCAATAGTATAAGGCGAAGAAACAAGGAGTCTCAGTCCCTCGAATCGAAGCAAGCTAGGGTTCCGCACGTCGACTTCTAAAGATCAAGGTCTTCAACCGTGGTCGACGTCGCCGATTCAGATGTCATGACCTCTAGAGCTCTCGTGCATGTAGACTCGTAGGAACTCCTTCTCGTGAAATATTTCTCTCCTCAGTAATTCTTCCGGTTGGTTGGCTTGTCCTGTTGTGGGCTCTTTCCATCAGACCTTGGCTCTACTTGTTGTGGACTCCTATACCGAGTTCTCACCGGGACTCCTCTCCTTTAGCTCGTGCTGGTCCCTCGTAGGCAAGCCTGTCGTGGACTTCTCCTTCACTGGGCCTTAGCGCCAGCTCTTGACGCAAGTCTCCTCGGTGCCACGGCCCTCGGTACCTGGCCTCTCTTTGACTCTCCACACTGGTGTCATCATCTTGGAATCTTGTCCCCGGTTGTCTCGATGCAGATTTCGTAGGCTCTCGGTGCAAGTCTCTTCGTAAGCTCTAGGCAGCCAGGGTTCATATAGGCTCTTGATGACCTGGTCCAATGTATGTTCTG